AGGTATGTTGACACCAGGAGTAATCTTGACGCCCGCAGGTGGAGGATGCGGGTGGTTTCGGAGGTAGAATATTGGTGGGAAAGGGCTGAGGATCACTGCATGTTGATTTGAAAATCATTGACAATACATCAACACAACATCCTGTATTCCTTGACATTCCTTGGGCCCAGAAAAATATGTGGCTAGTCACAAGCTATCTAAGTTACAGGTTAAACCTATATACAACAGGGGTGCCAAACATATGTTGACAGCAAGAATATATTTACACGCGTGCAGGTGAGGATACGGGTGGTTTCGGAAATAGAATTTTGGGGGAAGAAGGTTGGTGATCAATGCATTTTCACTTTATTACTCATGCAAATTCCCTCAAAACGACTTCCGTCATTTTGCCAGCAAAAGTCAAGAGGATTTCAAATTTTCAAACCCAATTTTTACAAGTGACCTTGAGATTGGTTTCTTGGCGTCAAGAAACGGTTCCTCAGGTCACTTGTTAAATTAGGTTTTAAAGTTTCTCGATCTTTCTTGGTCAAGCTAGAAAAAGAAGATTTAGTTATTTACAGGTTATGCAAGGTACATCACAGATTAAACCTATATAGTTCGTTCCAACATTTGAACCGTTTGATGATATGTTATAACACATAATTTCATGCATTTTGAAAGGCTACATATCAAAATTATTCCAATGTCTATCCACATCCTGTTGTTTCTTTTAACCAAAATTATTCCAATGTCTATCCACATTGTTAACCAAAATTATTCCAATGTCTATCCACATTGTTAACCAAAATTATTCCAATGTCTATCCACATCGGTAACCAAAATTATTCCAATGTCTATCCACATCGTGTTGTTTCTTCTAACCAAAATTATTCCAATGTCTTGCCACCTACACTTTGCCCATAGTGCCTAAAAATTATTCCCAAGGAAATTATTCTGGAAAATTATTCCTAGATGTAACATCCACATCGGAATAATTTCGGATGGTATGGGTCATCTTCTTGAACTGGGATTGGCCCGAACCCCACTGTTGAGTGATTCTTCTTGAACGGGGATTGGCCCGAACCCCACTGTTGAGTGATTCTTCTTGAACGGTGATTGCCCGAACCCCACTGTTGAGTGATTCTTCTTGAACGGGGATTGGCCCGAACCCCACTATTGAGTGATTCTTCTTGAACGGTGATTGGCCCGAACCCCACTGTTGAGTGATACTTCTTGAACTGGGATTGGCCCGAACCCCACTGTTGAGTGATTCTTCTTGAACGGGGATTGGCCCGAACCCCACTGTTGAGTGATTCTTCTTGAACGGGGATTGGCCCGAACCCCACTGTTGAGTGATTCTTCTTGAACGGGCATCCTAGGCAATGAGTGAAATCTACTCAATTAGGTAGTAGGGAAAAACTTAACCCCCTTGTTGAGTGATTCGCGTCGAACGGGTCAACAAGGGAGTGAGGAAAAACCTAACTCCCTTGTTGAGTAATTCTTGTTGAATAGGTGACATCAATTGGAACACAAAGGGCCCAACAAGGGAGTCAGATAAAACGTAACTACCCTCTTGAGTGATTCAACTTGAATCACTCAACAAGGGAGTTAGGTTTTTCCTAACTCCCTTATTGAGTGGATTTGTGTTTTGCCAAGATTCCACCGCCAATCGAAGCTGATGGCTGATCCAATCCAGCTGCGGAATCATGTGGGGACAATTCCTCCCCTAAATGCAAAACATCACCATCAGCGCCAAACAGGCAATAGAAGGGAGTGGAGATGGAAGAAAATGGCGAGTCCATGTAACCACACTTAATCGTGACATTATCATTATAGTGTCTCCATTTCCCACCAACAAAAAATGATAAACAATTTGAAAAAACATACTTAGACAAGTAGATTACTGCTTTCATAAAAGTGAGCATGTACATGCCCACAGTAATGGTAGCATCAAGCTGCGGAATGAATCTGAATCTAAACATATCTGAGCCCAAGGGCCCCAACAAAGATGTTGGTATATGGAGTCCGTAGCCTGATGTTAAATGGTTTTGAATGCCATTTAAAGTAAATTACACCTTCAGTATTTGAATGTGTTGAACAAAGTACGTTTCATTTAGTTACATGGGATCAACATGCGAGACAATAGTTTAGGCTTGTAATAAACGGCATTGAACTTTATTTGAACAAATTACGCGCTCCGGAGCGCATATTGATTACGCGCTCCGGAGCTCGTAATTGACTTTAGTATTTAAATGTATTGAATAAAGTACATGTTTCTTACATTGGGTCCAATAATATAGGCCCTACAGGCTGGTACTAAATGGCTTTGAACTTTATTTGAACAAATTACGCGCTCCGGAGCGCGTAATTATTACGCGCTCCGGAGCGTGTAATTGACTTCATGTATTGAATAAATAGTACATTTTTCTTACAGTGGGTCAATATACGAAACAATACTATAGGCTGGTACTAAATGGCTTTGAAATGCTTTGAACAAATTACGCGCTCCAGAGCGCGTAATAATTACGCGCTCCGGAGCGCGTAATTGACTTCAGTAGTTACATGTGTTTAAAAAAGTACGTTTCATTTCATTACATGGGATCAGCATACGAGACAATAGCTTAGTCTGGTACTAAATGCCTTTGAACTTTATTTGAATGGATTACGCGCTCCGGAGCGCGTAATTGACTTCAGTATTTACATGTGTTGAAGAAAGTACGCTTCATTTTATTACATGGGATCACCAATACGAGACAATAGCTTAGGCTGGTACTAAATGGTTTTGAACTTTATTTGAATGGATTACGCGCTCCGGAGCGCGTAATTGACTTCAGTATTTACATGTGTTGAAGAAAGTACGCTTCATTTTATTACATGGGATCACCAATACGAGACAATAGTCTAGGCTGGTACTAAATGGCTTTGAACTTTGTTTGAATGGATTACGCGCTCCGGAGCGCGTAATTATTACGCGCTCCGGAGCGCGTAATTGACTTCAGTATTATGTAAATTTGTTGAAGAAAGTGCGTTTCATTTAATTACATGGGATGACCATACGAGACAATATAGTTTAGGCTGCTACTAAATGGCTTCGATCTTGATTTGAATGGATTACGCGCTCCGGAGCGCGTCATTATTACGCGCTCCGGAGCGCGTAATTGACTTCAGTAGTTACATGTGTTGAAAAAAGTGCGTTTCATTTAATTACATGGGATCAGCATACGAGACAATAGCTTAGTCTGGTACTAAATGCCTTTGAACTTTATTTGAATGGATTACGCGCTCCGGAGCGCGTCATTGTTACGCGCTCCGGAGCGCGTCATTATTACGCGCTCTGGAGCGCGTAATTGACTTCAGTATTTACATGTGTTGAAAAAAGTGCGTTTCATTGGGTCACTATACAAGACAATAGTTTAGGCTGCTACAGAAAAAATGACCTAAATTCCAACAGTTAAAAGTGATTTTCTGAATGATGTCAAATGGAGCTTTTGGACGACCCTGTACAAGTTTTACCTTTTGGATCCTTTTGGTGGGATATGACTGCTGTGTGCCTATCTAATCCTGGAAAAGCTAACTAAATCTAATTAAATACAGTGGTAAAATGGACGCCGAAGCTAAGGGCTTTTACCGAAAGGAAAGTGCAAGTTTAGGCAACCACAAGCCGACCCTCGCGGAATGGTAGGGATAAACATGGGATAATAATAATAATAATGATAAACCAGTACTTGCATGGGGATATTGTGGTTTGGGGGTACCATCATGTCATGTGAACCGCTTAGACAGGCAAAGAGCGCTCACAAGCAAGCAGCAAGAAAATACGCATGGCTAACGTTGGCTGCCCAGCAAAAGCAGTTGCCTTGGAGATCCTTGCAGTGGGATCTCTCTGTGTTTTCCCCAAAACATTGCCCAAAAATAACCCTGCAACTTGATATACCCAGGTTTCAACAGCAAAAAGTGAGTACCTATTTTTAAAGCAAAACAACAACCTGACCTGGCTGGTTCTTTCCAGGCCAAGATCCACGTTCTTTTTTTTTATGATGAGTGAGGTTTTTATCTCTCAAATCCATGAAATATATCCCAGTCACAGATGGATACATATGGGGCTATGAGTTGTAGGCCAAAAAACTTCAGTTGGATCTCAGCAGTGATGTGCATCTAATGATCCAATGGCCACAGGGGAAAGCCGGGAAAATGTGTTTTGGGAGTCTCATCTTCTTCCGAGCTGCGCGCGGATGTCAAATTTGCCTCAAGCCAATGTTGACATGCAGTGACATTGCATGTCTAGCAACAACGAACATAATATGTGACATTTTAGCTCCGAGATCAAACACCAAACCACTCACCTGAACCCGCTACAGCATGCTACAGCAACAGGGCATCAAGAAATTTGATGGTTTGACTAAAACCACATCTGGGCGAGGTTCCAACTCCCACAGGGATTTTTTACACTGCTTCTCTATGACCATCGCCATGCAGGGTAACACTGGGCAGGAATGGTATGGCGATTGTGGTACAATGTCACCATATTTCACCCACGAAGTTGTCCGTCTTCCCTGCGCAAGCATCTTAAGGGCAAGTTGAAGCATTATGACAGTGTGGATTGCCAGAGAGGAACCATACTCGCAGCACTCCCCAAATAGATACAGTATATATAGTAATGGATGTATATAGAATCATTGAACAGCTGAAAGTTAGGAGGAAAAAAAGTGCCCAATATAATCTACAACGTCCTGCATGGGGAGAACACTTGTCAATCTGTTTTTGGGTTCCTAGACCTATGAAAACACATACCCACTATCAATCATACCCAAACATAATATCATTGGTCAATGTTGGTCACATACTCACAATATTCGCATGAAATCCACATTATTATTTACATACTGTCCAGTAAGGTATCATATCCACATCATATATCTGATTTAATTCTAAATTCTACACGTGCATTCTTAATCAACCACATGTCATGTCCACATTGTCCCATGATATCTCCTGCCACATTGCCGCACTTTTTCCGCCCCTTACCCCTTGCCCTGCCAGGTACGGTGATGGATCAGCAAGGGCCGTTCGATGTACTTCTGAATCGCCCAGCTGCGTTCTTTGGAATCCACTCGGGCCCGGACATCCTCTACCGACTTGTAGATACCTCTGCGCCGTGGGTGGCGGAAGCATAACGTATCTGATACTATCTGGTGAGGACAATGGTTTATAAGTTATAACGGGTTCTATACATATATATATATACTGATATATATAAAAACTTATATACCCAATCAGTTGCTCGTTTTCTTTGCAGGCCCTTTTCGGAATCAGAACCACGGTAATATCATCACTTTGCTACGCCATGGCACGGATGCCACAGCCGCGATTGGCCCACTCAGCTGGCTTCACGATCCAAATCCGCTTCGAGGCCATGTTCTGATAGGCCTCCTGCGCAAAGTTCACTGGTGGAGTGGTCCTACTGAGCACATAACCCCACAGATTGTTTCACATATCAGTTAGAGCATGTTAGAGCAACATTCATGTTTTGGGCCACCAATGAGATACATTACACGGTGAAAGTAACAGCTTTGACCCTGGTTCAGCCGCCCATCTGGACATTGGAGTGCAGTGATTTAGCACCATCCCCTGGTCCCAAATACGTGTAAAGCCCCTATCAAACCATGGTTTCTGGCGGTGTTTAATTTGGGGGATGGGATTACTCGATGCCTACATTCATGGCCACAAGCCAGCCCATGCCAAGCATATCATGTGCACATTCTCAGCACTCTGCTCCTCGAATAAGGTGAACCTTTGGCAGGATTAAGAGGATTTGGCGTGAAACCGTTTCGCTACCGGGGAACCTTCCCTTAAGATATCCTAAGATGTGTTTTGTTTATATTTTGATATATTTTAGGCACTGAAGAGGACCTACCCTCAGTCAAACATGTCAATTGAAACATCCCACGTCTGGCGGAAATTCCATGGCCAGGCTAGATCACCGGAGCATGTATCATGAGGATCATGAAGGTACCTCGTATTTGAAAAGCAAAGCAGCACCCAAAATATGGCCTGATAAAATATGTAAAAATCTTATGGGTGACAGGGCCTCGATTTCGAGTAACTACCGAACTGTCCTTAATTGTTTCTTTAAGGAAGGCGCTGGCATGGAACCTGAACATGATGGAATCGGATGGAGTCCTCACGTCCACTTTGTAGCCAGGTGACTGAGGGTCAGCGCTCCCTTCCACGATGAAGGTCAAGGGCAGTGCCCCAAAAGGGTCGCGATTCTGGTTCATGAAGAAGGTCGACATCGCCTCGCCTAAGGCCGCTGACAGGTACAATGAAGTTGGGAGGACACGGACCGCGGCTGCGCCAAGCAGCAAAGACCCTTCTTGGTGCAAATGGACCCACTGCCTGATCATGGGCACGGAGCTTCAAGTCATCTGTGAGAAAAAACCCATCACTTAGTGCCCTGGCCAGAGTATAGGTTGATATCACATGACATGAACATGAGCGAAATATGATCCAGATCGAAACAAAAAATCACCTTATCATACCTTGTCATACCTTGTCACACCTTATCATACCTTGTCATACCTTATCATACCTTACAAGTACTTCTCTAGCTAGCTACAGTACCTAGCTATCTAGCTATCTAGCTATCTAGCTATCTAACTATCTAGCTATCTAGCTATCTAGCTATCTAGCTATCTAACTATCTAGCTATCTAGCTATCTAAGCTATCTAGCTATCTAGCTATATATCTGAGTAGCGGACAACAATAGTTGTTAAGTTGAATGCCATGCACAAATTAGGGTCGTCCCTGATCGCTTGTCAGGACTTCAGCACTCCCGGAGGTATCATACATGGGGTATCGGCACAGGTTCGTCCTCAAGACTACATTAGTATTACAATAATTTTGTCGGTTACTATATATATATAGCTACCTAACTATCTACCTAGCTATCTACCTAGCCAGCTATCTATCTATCTATGTATCTGTCTCTCTGCCTATCTGTCTGTCTATCTATCCATCTAGGCTTCAAGACATGTGCCCAAGTGAGCCGTGCTCTGTCCTGCACCAGTTAGTATGATATAGTATCATGGCGTAACAGGATGTTTACCATATTTTACCATCTACCAACTGGTGCAGGATTTCTTCCATTCACCCTATTTCACTTAATTTCACTTGCTCTCAAGGAGTCTGAGGCATCAACAGGGCCTTCAAAATGGTTGTGACACCGAAGCGCCGGTGGAAGATCGGTGCTTTGTTTGGCTGCGGCCTACAGCCGGAAGGCGCAAATAGCGCCAAGAAACCATGGAGGAATTTGGCGGGTCCCACAAAGAGGGGTTGTACTGTATGGGTTCAACATAATGGTTCATGTGTCTGTCTATTTTTAGGGGGCAGATTGGAAATTTGTGGATAAGTTTCACTTCCATCACTGGCAAATGTTGGGTCCCATCCGAAAGTCAGTACTTATATAATAGGTTTAAAAAAAACGGTCAAAGTATCTGGCAAAGTGAACTACAATTACCATCTAGTAATGAAACAATGCAATTGAACATCTACAAATGGAGGTTTTCCATCATGGTTTCACAGGAATATCCCCAAACTCCATGGAGGATTTTCCAGCCCAAAGAGCAACCAAGCACCCCGCATGCCGTCGCCTTCGAGGCCTTCAGTTTCAGGGTCTTTTCCTCGTTGAGTTCCACCCTCAAACCATGGAGCTGCAGAGCCATGGCGTTTAGAAAGGCCAATGATCTGTACCTGAAAGGACAGCCCGAACGGGAAGAAATAGGATGCTTCCCGCAAAAAAAATGAGAACAGGAAACCCCAAAATCATCAAACATCTTATGCTAGATTCTACTTCCATCTGGCTATGAAAATGAGTTCCAACATCAACAACTGTTTTTTCATTGTGCCAAAAGTATCATAACCATGTCCTCCATTAACTATGCTCCCCCCCAAAAAATGTTTACCGTCATTGCTGCTTAGATAATCCCATCATAATGATCCACATTTGTTGGGTGAAGATCCCCATGTTTGTTGGTTACATCCCCCTCCAATATCTATGCTTCATCGGTTGAACGTCTACTTTTGACAATTAAATCCTATAAGCTGGCTGGTTCCCCTCAAACATGGAATATTTTTCCAATATCTGCTGGTCTTGTTGATTTTCCACCCCGCCGGCTGCCCAGTTCCTCCATACTTGATGCTAAAATCTCCATCGGCCAATTTTTTGGGATAGTTCCCTCCATCCCAAGCATCATTCGAGTGAAGCGGTGAGGTTGTCATAATGTATCCCCATCATTAACCCAATGATAAGGAATTAAATCCCACCATTCTTATTGGTTAAGTCACCATGTCTGATGGGTTTCCAACCGTTAAATCCCTTTGTTTCGGCCGTTGAATCTCTTTTCTCAAAGTCAAAAGCGCATGTTTTAGGTGACGGCGCCCCTCGAGGGGCGGGACTGTTGTCACTTTTGTACATTGTCTTTTTTGGGGGGGGTTTGGGGGAGGGGGTTTTGAGGGGGGTGTAACAGCGTCCTGTGGTCTGCGTTGTCAATAACGATTTCCTGATATGTTGTAAGATCTTCGTACAGTAACTTGCAAGACGTTCCTTATACGTTGTAAGATCATGTAAGATCTTCGTACAGTAACTTGCAAGACGTTCCTGATACGTTGTAACATCTTCGTCCAGTAACTTGCGAGACGTTCCTGATACGTTGTAACATCTTCGTCCAGTAACTTGCAAGACGTTCCAACATGGTCTTGGCAGAGGCTCCGCTGAAATTGATGTCAGCTGGACCCAAACCACCTCCTGAGTCAAAAGAAGAATTAAGGAAAAGGATAATTTGTCAGAAGCTCACTCCGAATGCTACAGTTTTCGCGGATGGTGCGCAAGCTTGGTCCACAGTGATCAAGGAAGAATGGCCGAAATGTCGTGTGGAACATGTGAGCCACAAAGATGGACAATTTACAACAAAATGTCCCAAATGGATGCAAAGGATCACGCGTAGCAGGCACACAGGTCCTTGACCGAACATGGGATCATATGAAATAATATATCCCAAAGACTCTCTCTTCAAGGAAATTAAATGCACATGGAACAACAGCTGCCTTGATGAGACATTGCCTAATATGGCAATGGTTGCACGAAGTGTTGGCTCCTGGCTACTCCCTCCCTATGGGACCAGTTAGGAAAGCTTTGTAAAAAACACAACAACAGAGTTGGACTATGGCGTCTCGCATGAAGATGAAAAAAAGAGTGACGATTGTCTACCTTCAGAAGCGCTGAAAGCGCCGCACTTCGACAGGCGCCAAAGACCATGTTTTACCCTTACCCTCTGGTAAACAAACATAGCTATTGAAAATGATAATTTATAGTTGATTTACCCATTAAAAAAATGTGATTTTCCATAGTTATGTTGGTTTTACCAGAGGGTACCCATTTGTTCACCCTTGAATTCACCGTTTCTCCACGACATCAGCTTCCCACGATGGTTATCCCAGCAGCTGGGTCCACAGGAGATTAATCTCCCCAGCTGGACATGCTTTCAGCTTCACCCGACGCTCCTGCGGATGGAGATGTGAGGGAATAGATGATGTTATTATATATTACATTATATTGCACACACACACATATATATATATACATACACAAACTTGCATACCAAATATGATACATATAGTATACAGTATATAACAATTAAGATGTAAATACGTTACTTAGATCTTGACATATACTCAAATACACTATATTCAGTCATATTATAGATGTATTTGTGCAAGAAGGGCAACGAGGTTCTGCAGTCTTCTCCTGGCTCCTGGCATGAATCAATCTCTCGTATCTCATCAGTTCATTTCTCTCAAAATGCAATTTCCATGAGTCAACGTTATCAAGTTAAGGTCAAAGTCACAGATCCACAAAAATGGAAAATAGAATGTAGACTTGACTAATTATTAATCTGATTATTACAAGTACTTGTTTTTCCTGTTCTTAAAAAAACTAAGTATATATATATAATATATATATATACATACCAATCCAATGTTCAGAAACTCATCTAGTTCCCACCTATGCTCCCTGCCCGACCCAGTGTCCCCCAGTGTCCCCCCAGTGTCCCCCCAGTGTCCCCCCAGTGTCCCTGCCTGGTACGATCCGCCCCCCGCGGAATGGCCCGGATCTCCAGGAGCAGGGGCCCACAAACGTCGAGAGCGCATGAGTTGGCGCAACAAACCTCCACTCGGAGCAAGGCTCAGGACCACAGTCAGTGCGCATCGACTATGATCCACTGATCTGCTCGGCTGTGGATCATGAGCAACCTGACCTTGCCTCTTTTCCATGCTGCATCTCGTTTTTTTCATAGTTGGGATGAGTGAGAGAAACAGGAGACCACCAGTCATCCAATCACGGAGGGATAGAGTACAAAGAAAACTGATTCAACCTGCGCATAACGTTTGAAATTCCTGGGGTCCCAGATCACTAAGCCAAACAAACATAAACAAAAACTACCCATATGCAGAGTAAAACCCAAGCCGCCTGAGTTGTTGCCAAACTGGATCACATAGCCTTGGTACTGACACGGCTGACCGGCTGACCCTCCCAGTTGTTCAAATCCAATCAGATTTCCCATCAAAAATACATCAACGTCAAGTCATGTTAGTTTGTGATTGTTTTAGGATGTTTCCGGTTCTGCGTTTGCGAATGCTTTTCCGGCATATCAAACAATCTCAACGTTGGTAGTTCCAAGATTCGCGTGGAAAACTCCTTAGGGTTTGCCCAAAAATGCTGGGCACCCCAGAAGCACCATGTCAATGCAGAACAAAGTACGGAAACATGGTGAGGAACTTGATCACCGTCATAGTGTTCACGCATTTTTTCAGAGAAACACACCACGACGAACTGGTATAGGTGAAAATAGGGTACCCCAAAAATTAGATAGTTAATACATGTTGATACTAAACCTATACTAAAACCTGTGGTCCTATAGGGCTTAAATATTGACCCATCCACAACTGATGAAAACTGCCGGTGCCACCAAGCAACGCCATGTCGTCTGCCCCCCTTCCTCCACTGCGCCTGCCGCCGCTTGCGCTTCGTGCACCGCCACCGCCACGCGCGGTGGCAAACTCAAGGCACCTGCTTGCAGCTGGATCCCACGATGTCACCACTCCGGATGTTAGATGTATCGATGCTAGCTATCATCTATTCAGGCAACCCAATAATAAAATATCATAAACCTACCCCTTGGGGATGGTTATTTACAGCACCCCACTTCTGGTGATTTTGAGGATGGTTTATTATTGGGATTATGATTACTACATTATATGACTTGTTACCCTTGTTTTATGCGCAGAACAACTTCATCCTGGTTATTAGTGATTGCCGCAATACTGCAATTGAAGCCTGCAAATGGAGCCACAAACTGAACGGGTCCAATTTTTGTGAAGGGATCATGTTTGGCATTTGAAGAATACCCTCTGGTAATTTGTTACATAGCTATTGAAAATCACCATAGAAATAGTGAATTTTCCCATGAAAAATGGTGATTTTCCATAGTTATGTTAAATTACCAGAGGGTATTCGCCAACTGTGGACTTATTCACCAGCCATCCTGCGATTCACCACCGGCCACGGCGCGTTTGTCGGGTTCCACTGTGGAACTGGTGCTGCTCACCTTAGCGATGGCCCGAAGATCCTTAGGGTTTGTTGGTTCAACTGAAGGGATATCTTCGTGAAACAGGTGGCGATTTGGAGAATATATCTACCAAACCGCGTGATGATTTACACAAGCTCTGCAGGAAACCTCTGGAGCCTTGTAAGTTTCGACCCCAAAAAATAAGGAGCTTGTACTTTTTTGTAGGACGTGTTCATCTAGCCTCTTCAATGTAACCAGTGTAACCTAAATCCCCCATTCTTTTTATGGCTGGTTCTTCGATCTCGTTCCTCTGCAAAAAAATGGGGCTTCCGATGACTTCCGGATTTCCCAGTTGCCACGGTTTGATTACCATGAGGGTAGTGAAATTGAATACATAGCAAATAAAGGTTGGATCATCCAGTTTCCCACTAGCCCCAAAATCACCACAAATGGGTGGTATAAAACATCCCCTGGTAGGTTTCAGCTATGGACAGTGGGTCACCTTCCATCACCTTCCTCCGCTGAGCCACGCTGTGACTGGTGGATGTGTTGCCACGACGCTGTCCCCAGCGTGGCCGAGCCTGGATCATCATCATCATCATCATCATCATCATAGCCACTATCATAGTCATGAGTCATAAGTCCATAGTATTCCAGATTCACATGTGCTTAACATTATTTAATAATGTTGTATAAGCTCATGTCATGTCATGCAATATTTAGCAACCACCATCGTTTTTACTGGTACCATATGCCTGTGGTATTCTGTTTCCTGCAGTTGTCCAGACTCTTCAGTTCAACAAGGGTCAACTCCCACGGCACCTGCAGTTTGGGGGCATGATGAGCAGCGTATGCTGCCCCAGCACGACGCCTGAAAGAAGCAGGAGTTTCGTGTCCTTGTGTGTCTATGCGTGAAACATATGTTTGCATAATCGAATATTATATATATGTATATATGATACAGTAATATAGTACTTATATAATCTTATATACACATATAGGTCCCAAAGGAGTTGATGTTCCGTTTCTACATCAGACACCGAACACTTCAGCCCACGCCTTGGCAAAGGGGGCAGGCTTCCTCACGCGAACATCGCGGTTTCAATCCAAAACACCTACCAGTTCAACATAGAAACATGTTTGAATCCATCAATTGGTGGTTTCAACATGTTTCAATCCAAAATCAGGAACCATAGATCACAGATGATCACAGTTGAAAGATTTTGAAATCTTTGGTATGGAAATGTATGGAACATAGATCAAATGTGAAAATCCGTGGTTGCCACAAAGTCGGTATAAAACATATAGATCACAGTTGAGACATGTTGAAACCACCAATCAGTTGTGGAAAAAATGAGTGTTGATAAAATTCCACCCATGCCCAGCTGCTGATAAACTGCTCCCTACCCATCGTCATTATCATGACTATCACAACTGTTCTTGGCAAATTGGAACATAGTATCGCCAAGAAATGGCTATGTCTGAACATATGGTACCCGAAAAAAAGACCCCATAATCTATCATAATCTATCGTTTCACTATGTTTCACTGATTTCACATTGCCATCTTTCAGGGTATATACCGCCCCTTCCGGGGATCTGCCTCCTCGGTTGGGACTCCCGTGGGGTTCCCGGGCACGGGCACTTGGCGGCGCGTCCATGGCGGCTTGCCGCGAAGCATGCTGGGTTTTCCGGTGGCGTCCATGGGAAGGTCATTTGGGGATGATCTGGCAGGAATTCTCCGAACCATAGGAATCTATAGTAATCTACCATCATTTACCCGAACTACTTGCCATATCTTCTGATCACTATGATTCAAACGCCTTAAAACTGTGGCCTTTTGGAGATGGTTTCCTCCGAATCAGTGGTGAATGTGGCCAGTCCAATGGTCCTGAAACAAACTTGGCATCCTGCTGGATCTCTAGCCAGAAGAAATTATAGAACTTGGAATCTATTTAATTACATTTAATAACTATTTGTTGCCATGTTCATCCATTTTCTGGATCTGACATTGACAACTCACCGAAGCTGAGTTAACCAAAGTCGACAGTCAAAAGCTCAGCTGCGCATTGACTTACTGTTCATCTGTTCATGAAAACTAAAAAAATGGAACCTGTTCGCACCTGTTGATAAAGGCCCGGAACACGAGAACTGCGTCAAAGTAACATCTTTTTCAAAGCTCCACCTGAAAATTGAAGGGAACAGACCAGCCACATGGTAGAGGTTAAAGCTCATCGGAACCACAGACCCTTGTGGTGTGGAGGCCCCCTCTATGCATAGCAAATCGTTCTCGCCACCTCCAGGTGTTCTTTGGATCTCTGGGGCCCTGGGAGTTTGTGAAACATGTTCTGGGATCTCTGGGATTGTGTTGCAAATTACAAAGATTAATTTTGGCCTACCGAAAAATATCTGCAATCCGTACCCCTTGCAGCATTTCTTGTGTTGGAGGCATCGGAAGTTCAATGGGCAAAGCTATGTGAACACCACAGTGGTAGGCCAAAAAGTGCAGGACCGCCACACTCAAATACACCCCCCAGCCGTGAAGACATCAATAACAGGTTGGGCGGCCTAACTCGTGCCCAAATCTTCAAGGCAAACTCTGCTGCCGTAAATCTGGATCATCCCACATGATCCAATCTGAGCCCTGCCCTGAACAAAAAATCCTAAGGGCAGAAATAGATGTCAATCCCCACCGAAGGTATTGACCATGGAAGGTGGGACTCTTCGGCAGCTCAGCTGAGTTTCCGGGGCCACGACCTTATCAAGTTGCAAGATGCCCGTGGTGCAAACGCGGTCATTGAGCCACCTGTCGAGGTGGGCGCGATGCTGACAAATATAGGACAGTTAGTTGGGATCATCCCAGTCGGGATCAACCCCCCAAATAGGGTTGACTAAAAAAACAAGTTTGAATTCGAACCCACCAAAACAGTCATTGAGTTGTTAGGATTAGGATATACATATGATATCAGTTATTATCAGTTGAATGGATTGAAAGCGCCAGTTTCATGCGACGCAAATCTGGGTCCAACAGGAAACTTGTATACCTCCGATTCACATGCAAGAAACAAAAAACATGAACAATCCACAAAAATCCATCCATTCACCAAAGCCCACTCTCAAATGCAAATAGACGGCCGAGTCCCCAAAGAATAGTATCAGTATATGGCCAAAAAACTGGCTACAAAGTGTTAAGCAGCAAATGATGATATACAATGATATACAGATCAATAAACTCGAATAAACATCGTTTGTTTTTTTTGAGTTCCCAAATCGTATAGATATACTGTTGATATAGTGTTGACATGTTGATGAACGAACATGTTGGGTACAATATATAGTGTTGATTCACTGTTGGTGGACAGATATTGATATGTTACCTATTTAATATAATAACATTAATATATATATATACACCCTCTGGTAGTTTAACATAGCTATTGGGAAATTGCCATTTATAGTTGATTTACCTATTAAAAGTAAAGTGATTTTCCATAGCTGTGTTGATTTACCGGAGGGTATATACATAGCTATTGTGATGATGATCTCACCCGATATCCTCATGATATCACTGGGTGTGCCAAGCTCAATCTGGCGGCGAAGTTTGTCTTCGCCACCTTTTCCTCGGCCACCTGGCGAGATGTCGATCGCGGCGATCACTGGGTGGATTTTTGGGGGAAAACCTGGGAGAAATCGTGGCTGTTAAAGGGGTATACCATTCAAATGTGGGGAAACTATGGGAAACTGGCGCCTTCAACCAAGTCTAGGCAGTCTAGGAATATGGAATATGCCAATATGTCAATCAAGACCCAACATCGAAGCTCAAGAGATGTGAGTCTGTGTCGTCAATCATGAATCCATTCTTGACCAATCTTGGTTCATGTCTAATTTTGGAGATACAAAGCAACTATATAAACATTTTATTTACATCAGTTCGTTCAGTATTCAGCAAAAGTCAAAGGCTTTCCTGGATCGTAAAACAAAGCTATGCAGGTATATGCAGGTATGTACCGGATTTTTAGGTGAAACGCAAGGGTTCAGCCATCTCTCCACCCCAAACGGGGATGGGACACCAAAAGATGGACAATCCATTCTTCACAGCCCCTTTAACGATAACACCACTATGGATCAACGGATATAGTATTCCAATTCCACCGGGAGTGCCTCTTTCAACCTCATGATCATTTACCCTCTGGTAATTTAACATAGCTATTGAAAATGGTCATTTATAGTGGATTTACCCATTGAAAATGGTGATTTTCTATAGTTACGTTAGTTTACCAGAGGGTACTCAAACTCCCAGAAAAACTCCGGATATCATGAAATGTCTGGTGATTCTTAGCAGGTCTGAATGATGGAACAGATGGACTTCCAAGGAGGACGCGCCGGGTGGCGAAAAATCCCCATGATGGGCCACCCCAGACTTAGCGATGCTGACACTGGATTGGTTCAAGGGAACATCACCAGGAACCATGCTGTCCCCCATCAAATATAAGGCTTTACATGGCTTTCCTGTAACAAAACCCTCAACAAAAATACCAGGGCCATCCATGGCCCCCATTGGTTTGGCCACGCCACCCGTTGCACCTCCCTTGGATGGAGCTGGTAATGCTTGCCTTCGGCCACAGCTCAAGGTTTCTCGACACGGCCGGGTGAGTTTTGCTGCTATAGCGGTGCACAATTTCCGCAACTTTGTTAAAAAAAAGGGGCCTAGCGGACGTAGAATTTCAGAATGCTATTGGCATCCCTTCACTATGACAATGAGAAACTTAGAATACTATTTGCATCCTTACATTATGATCATTTTGATGCTATTATATACAAAATTATCATATATAATAGAAAAAAATAAAAATAGTTCAGGGCCAAGCCCATTGATTTAATTTTTGAGCACCATACAGGGATATATAATTATGTTATTATGATATTCAATGATATTTCTATCGGCTGCCGGGAACTACCTCTGTACCACCTGACCAAAGGACTGGGTCTTCCGGCGAAGTGGATGGTCCTCAGTCAAGAAAGGTGCAATGATGGGCGGATGGGATGTTTCCAACGAAATCGGACTGTGTCTTAATACCATAGGAAATACCATGGAAATACCATGGAAATAAGCAACGAAATTACAGGCGAATCAATGAAAATAAATTGGACAATTGGACAAGAAATCATGATAAACCAGTCAGTGGAATGGGTCATGATCATCCCCAAAAAACCTTTGAAAAAAGCAGCCGAACCACAACCCTTCCATTGTTGGCTTTGGTAGTGAGGCACCCCATAAGGTGACGGAAATACATTCCAACAAGCTAGTTCATAAGTGACAAGTCTTCACTTCTGCTAGAACCTCAAGAACCACTATCAAATACACAAATAGGCTCACAAATTTGACCATCTGTAGTCTTAAACTGCCTATGTTTTTGGGTCATCCTGGTGTAGTAAGATGAAAAAACTATGACCACCAACGGCCTGCCTTTAGAAACGTCAGCCCAATACCCAAGTGGTCACCAGCTTTTAGTCAATAAACCGGCACTGTTCCATAGCTATCTTGATTTACCGGAGGGTCTCATCTTTAAGTTGGCTTCATTTGGAGCCACTCGCCCATCGGTGGTTTACTCGCCATGGGGCTCTCGTGGATCCAAACAACTCCGACTTGGAGGCGCGGGTGCGCCATTCCAGGTGGATTTATGGTATGGCAAAGTGCATTGCAGTCATTAAAAAAATCGAACAAACTGAAACAGTTAGAAACTGCAACAATAAATGCGTTGGAAACACCTAGGCAAACATGAGTTGTCAAACCCTAATGATATATATCTCTCTCTACTTCCTCATAATTAAGTAGTCATTGGCACAATTGTCATAAATATACGGCTTAACCATAGTTATACAATAGTTATAATTACCATAGTTTTACCATAGCTAAACCATAGTTTACACAATAGTTTATACCCATACTATAACCATATGATACCCATATTTTACCCCTAGATAGTTATTATGTACATATAATTATACATAAATATGAATATATAAGTGTATAAAAGTATATATAAGTTATATGGCCATATGGGTATGGGTCAATACCTATTAATACAATTTTTAGGGGAATGAACATCCATTTACCAGCTATTTTGAGGTTCACCAGGAGTACAAAGTTTTGACACACTGCCATATCAACATTATCCTCATATTGTACCTTAATATCACACGATTGTAACCAGCACCGCTGGGAAGCCCCAGCTCGCAGAACCGCCATCGTGTGTGATCTTCCTGGCCGGCTTTCACCATGAATCCATGGTGATTTCATGGGATTCGAACCATGAAAAATGCTGATGTCATGGGAAATTCACCCACAAACATAGTGGTTTGAGGCGATTTAAGATGATTTAAGCCTCAACATGTGTGATTTAACAGTCACAAATAGTGATCGAACATGATCTAATCATCAACGAATCGGGGTTAACCAACCATAAATGGAGAATCTCACCAACCAAACTCGGCAACACACAGTAACCATCAAGAATGTGGTGAACACAAAAGCATCAACCATCCCCAATTCTACCCAAAAAAAAGATGGGATTTCAACCATCCAAAATTGAAGGTTGATGGCATTTTGGGTTTACCACATGTTTCGCCGATAGTAGCAACATGTCGGAACATGTTAGAGTGCCAAAAAGTACAACACACTGAGGATGAAAGCAATAATGATATAGAATGATATAGATTATATGGTTAGAATGATATACCTGGTTTACATCTTGAGGTTTCATTCGTTTCTTTTCCATCACCATCAGTTGAAAACAACTGGATTCCTGGCTCCATCGGTGCAACTGAGGCTCTTGATCCCTGCCAACACATAGGCAGTCGGATCACGCACTGTGGATGCATGTTCCTGGCAGGATCTGTGTTGAAAGCCGTGGTTTTTGGGGATACGCCCATTTTAGGAAACCTCCATCAACGGAGAATTTAATATATAGAATTATAATGAATTATATGGCACCCCATCCTGGCACATCTTCCATCGCGGGTCAGTCTCGCCTCCAAATTGTTCAAGACCTCTAAGGATTGGTAGTACCTGAAGCCAATTGAAGCCAGCTGCTTGGGTTATTTGGGTTGAAAAAACGGGACAACAACTGGTGCATCCAGAATCTGATTCTGCCATTTTGATCCACGTTTGATCCATTTTGGATCCATTTTGCATGTCGATTCAGCTACTCCGGGGGACACCCGAGGTTCCGGAAAGAGGAAGCCAAGCGATCCTGGCAGCGTTTTTCTGAAGTGGATGGAATATATGGATGGGGAAATCCATATGGAAAAAGGAACTTCCATATGCAAACCCATGGTATTTTATATTAGGAGTATGGATGGAGTATGGAAATCCTGGAAATCCATGATAATATAGTGGATCTGGCATTTTTCATCATTGGAGTATGTCCAAATATGTGACACATATATTACATATCCAGGAAGGACTAGACTTTTAATCATCCAAATAAATGAAGATAATTTAAGTATAGTATATACTGGTACCAAAATTGGTGTGGTTTCAGCCGATTCCCAATCGGTTTTTAATGGAAACTCGATAGGAAACAATGGTTTTTACCATCAAATTGATGTGTTTCCTGCACCCATTGGGCACCCATCATCCAATGCTGAGAATCACCAAGCAGCAAGTTTGAAGCATCGACGGGCAAACATAATCTAAGGGCGAGGATAAGTTGGCGTGGCCATTTAACCTGAGCCAAATGGGCAGATCGGAAGAATTGGGAAGGCCCATACCAACCTGTCGCATTGGGAAATTATCCAGTTGCAAAATGGAAGGGCGGATATGAACTTGATCATGGATTATGTTTGATATGTACATAAAATCATATATGTACTATGTACAGTACATATTATTACATATGAGCCACGTTCTAAACCCGTGTGTTCATGTTAAGCAAGGGACCCCTTGTAAGGGTATGGCGTAAGCAAAACTGTGGTGCGCGTAAGCCAGCGTAAGCAAGACGTAAGCAATGGCGTAAGCATTTCCTTATTTGGTGCCAGTATGTAGGACATTTAGAACATGGCTCATATTACATGCCATGCGCATAATGTAGTCAGGACATATTACATGTCAGCAATTTCCAGCCCCCAGTGAGCACGTGCAGTTCGACTCAGTGGGCTTCCCAACCAGTGGACACGCTTGGCGATCTTGTCATCTTCCGTCTCGGGCGATGACAAATCCGCTGGGGTTTTCGGTTTTCGTAGTGTAAATGGTGGGAGCTTCAAGAAATCAAAGCCTTCCAAATGGTGGAGGTATACTGAGGTATACCCAGCCAGCGGGTGGTTCCAAGTTCCTCTCAGAGTTCCTTTTTTTGGAAGGCTGAGGTCCCAACAGAAATGCAAACGTCAACCAAACGCAGGATGGGACACTTTCAAGGGCTACCAAGGCCGGTATGAAACCAAGCATGCGCCAAAATTTCAATGCAACAAATTGACACCTCGGGGTTTAAAAAAAATCGACCCCAATGGTCGGTGGTTACCATCATTGGTTCCATCACCCTTCCCATTGGCCAAGTTTGGTCCCCTGAGGCCCCAAAATTTGACCACAGCCAAATAGCAACATGTGATCTTCGCATACCGATGTTTGATGTGTCAATCATGTTCAATCCCAGTTGTTTGTTGATTAAATTCACATTTTTGTATTGTTTTGAGGGTTCAATCATGTTCAATCCTCGTTTATGTTTGTAAAACCAGCATTCAGTCCTCATTTTTTGTAACATGGCTATTGAAAATGGTCCATTTATAGTTGATTTACCTACTCTCTCTCTCTCTACCTCCATCGCCACTTTGATTTACCTACTAAAAGTGGCGATGTTCCGTAGTTTTCTAGAGGGAAAAATAAAAACCAATCCCACAAACATCGCCCGACAACCCACAAACATCGCCCTTCAACCGAGATTTCCGGGCACTGGCTGGTGGCGGCCGTGGCGGAGGCCGTCGCACTGAGGATGAAGACGTGGGCCTGGAGGCATCTTCACTCCCAAAAATGGAAAGTGCTCATGAAAAAATGAAGGTAGCCTCTGGCAATTTAAGATAGCTATATATGCATGTCTGTAAATAATATATATATATACATATAGGGATCGAGAGAGAAAGAGATAATTATATAGAGATATATGGAACATCATTATGTTTGATAGGTCATCTTCTTTGTATATGATCCATTGTAATATGTTATGTGGAATGTTTGGTTTCGTGTCAGGGAACGGGATTTTTCACCGTTTCCATTTCTGGTTGGTCGTTTTCAACCCAACTTACAAATATCAGTCAGTAAGATTCAGTAAGGATTATCATCCTATAGTTACCATGGTTTATAAACAAACTTATAACTGGGGGGGCACCACCTTGTATGGGCTTATCAAAATACGAAAACGGAGAACATGCGTTGACCATCCAACTTTGGGTTTTCAACGGGACCCAAAGTTGCCACCCCTTGAATAAACATCTGCCGAGGGACGGAGGGGGCTCTGGCACCTGGAAAGCGGCTGGAAAACCTGGTGGTAAATCCGACTAATTAGTATATGTTGATTATGATAGTATATTCATAGTATATTAATAGTATATCTATGTATGTGTCTGTCTTGAAATTGTCTGTCTGAGTCTCTCTCTCTCTCTATGTTGTCCGGATGTATGTGATGTGATGTGACATAACATAACATTGTGTCGTGAAATGGTATGGTAAGCTAAGGGCCTGTGATGTACACTTCTTTCCTAGTGGAGGTGGCCTATGTGTTGGTCGGTTCCACCTAAAGCGTGCAGAATATGCACATATGTCTACATACATATAAATATGTGTATATATAATTATATATATATTACAATTATATATCATCTATGAATAATCATGTAGTGGGAGACGATGGCGCAGAAGTCACGTTTCCCATGGCTGTTTTTTTTTTTGGGTCAACCAAATGAGTTTGATCTAGGTGTTGTCCATGACTCATATCTGGGATCTAAGGAAAGGTCTGAATTCTGAGATCTTTGTTAATTTCTTCTCGTCTCTGCCCATATGGAAATGGGGTTCAAGTTTTTTTCACGCACTGGTGACCACAAGTACAGGTCGACTGGGGAATTGTTTCGAGACTCCCAAAATGGATATATATGATGCATATCTTTCAGGACCTTTCAGGTTTGTCCCTTGTTCCCTTGTTACCGCTCAATTCTTCGCGGCACGCAAAGATCTTTGGGTCAAACTTGGGTGCGTGATTTCAGCCCTAGAAAAAATCCAAAATCATAGTGCCTCTTGTGGAACCATCATCGCAATCTAGGATGAAAAAGAACAAAACCCGAAATACCCAAAACCATAAACTAGGGGATGCTTTGTGACCAATCTGCGAATTTGCCACGAAAGCTGCAGACCTCTGCCAGATTGGATTCTCATTTCATCATGAATTTCTCACTTTCTCTCAAATCCATGAAGCATCATTTTTGATGATTTATCCACATTCTTGCTGGATGAACATGGCTGCAAGTTCCATCCCTGGCGCTCCCATTTTTCTGCGGCCGGTTCGCGGCCCCCGACCTCCCAGCGGTCCCCCTTGCGTCCACCCTTGCCATGGTCGCCCTCAATGACACGCTGAGCCTCGTCAGGGGTTCCATGGGGTTCCCATCTTCACCGGTTTCACGCCGGTGAATCACCAGGGTTTCAACCTGTTTTTTAACCATCAAATGTACACAATTTTTTGTGTTGGATTTGACCATCCAATGAATCCAAATCCGACCCGTCAGTTTGGTCATCTGCCAGCGAGAGGGGGAACCTGGTTGGCGGTTTCAACATGTTACCCCTCTGAAGAATATGAAATTCAGTTGGGATCATCCCTGCCGAACATTCAAAATATGTTTGACACCAAAGACCAGGAGTAACATCAGGAGATGTCTGCGTTCTTACGGCCGATGGTCCGGACACGTCCGAAGCTGTTTGCAACTCGAGGATCATCTCAGATTCGGCGGAAAACCCAGGTCTCCACACTGCTTTGATGACATAACCGTTCGGGTCCCTAACCTGCAAGGTCTGGGTATGACATGCCACAGCTGACCCATTGCATACCCAAATACCCAAGTGGTGCCCCAAGGATAAAGGAAACAACCATAAACAACCAGTTTTTTCTGCAATGTCACCTGATGTCACCCATTCATGGCTAACCTTGGCTGTGCTGCGAGCAAAAAACAAACTGTTAGCAGTGTTAGCATGATCTATCTATCGATCCATCAGTATCCATCAGTTAAACTATCTAATATAATTTAATCTATATAATATACAACATTGGTATCTTCCATGTATGGCCAAAGAATCAGTCCATGAACCTATCATTCACCATGGCCAACTTCTCATGCCACATCCCAGGTTGACCTCTTTGGCGCTCTCCTCTAGTCGCCTTGCGGTATAAACCGTTTACCCGGTATGGTAATCCAACATGGCCATGGAAAAAAAGGATGAACATTGCCAAGTGGCTTTTTTGTGGCTCATAAGTATCATAGATGTTCTTATAAGCTGACTTTTCATAAGCCATAAATATCATGTTTGTTGTGGTTCAGACATCGTGGCTTTTCTGAAAGCTGACCCTTCAGAAGTTTTACGGAGCTTCAACTTGCCGCCTGGAAGGATCATCCTGGTGGAAGCTATAGCAAACGTCAGCCCCATAAATAACAAGGTAAGTCAGCCCCATAAATATACATACATATATATATATATGTGTAAATACAGTTATATGTATATGTATATATATATATATACATATGGGTATACATATATAATAGGCACACACATATATATATATATATATGTATATATAAAGAACATATTATATATGGCCCATTGGCCCTGGCTCAAAAAAAGGTATGGATCGTTCCGCGGTGATCCATGCGCATGGATCGGTCTGGAGCACCTTGGTTTGTGGAGTATGGATCACCTCTAGGTTTTAACCTTCTATCCGGACCTGAAATTCTGAATCACAGCCATATACACGTATAGGTTTTAAATAGATCAAGTTCTATACATAATATATAATATATCCATAAATCTTGGAGCTGGCCCTAACAGCGACCACCAGAACTATAAGTTTCCTCTCAATGGCAGCATTGCCAAATATTGGTGGGCGGAGGCTATGTCTAACACAAATCCCTGAAAATCCAGGAGCATCCATGAAAACCGAATAGATTCCCATGCAAATAAATTTGATGTTCCATAAAATGTCCCTTCACCCCAAAAAAGACAAAAACACACAAGACAGCCTGGCCACTGTCCCGCTCACTTCGCCTTAGGATCTCCCCTGCATCCGCGGTCTCGATGCTCAGCAGGCTCTGAGACACCTGGTGGAGCTGCATCAAGTGGTATATTGGAAAGAAGTGCTTCAACGAAACTGAAATGGTTGGCATATGTTGGCATTCTTGTTCGGAAAAAACATCAGACACTTCATGACAATTCCTATCATGTTGGGAACCCCTTAATCACTCCTTGGCTTCCCATTTTGGGGAGATGCTCCTCGGAACCGCTCACTCCACACACCACCAGCTAGTAGCATACCGGCAAAATGACATTTTTTAATGGGGATCACAATCAAGTTTGTAAACTGATCAACCCATACCTGGTTGGTGGTTTTAACTCCTCTGAAAAATATTAGTCAATGGGAAGGATTATCCCATATATTATGGAAAATAAAAAATGTTCCAAACCACCAACCAGATACGCGTTTATCTAAACAAAACTGGGCCATTTTGGGGGGATTGCTGTTGGAATATATAGTAGTCATACAAATTTGCTATGCGTGGTGAGAGAAAATAATAATAAAACCCACAATGTGGTTTTGTGATTTTGAGGATTGAACAATGAACCCTATAGAATGTTAAAAGCAAACCAATTGGGATTGAAAAGGTGGTCCATGGCAATCAAATCAGCCAAGATGGCAGCTTTTTAGGGACCCCACATTCGGATATAATTGGCCGAACTGTGTTATCAGCTGAACATATTCTAAGTGGTTTTATAAATATCACTGTATAAGTTTATAGGTGTTTATTGAGATTATCTTGAACATAATTTCACTGAAAGCGCTCCCGAACTGACTTGAATTTATAGGGCTCAAGTACAGTATATTTAAAATCATGCGCGTGTTCAAAGCTTTGCGATCTTCGATGATATTCGATGCACACATGTCATTCTTGCGTCAACGTTGGTGGCACGTCCATCTTTTCAAGCCATCTGTTCAACATCCCATCACTTCAAGCAATGGCTTGCTGGTGCTTTGGGTATGTTTGGGTCAGGTATTACATGGTATTACTGCATTGCCTTCTAGCAATCAAACACGGCCAGAAAATCCTCTTAAAATATGGATGATTTCCGAGCCATCACCGGAGATCTCCCAGGTCGCCTTGTCATAGTCCAACAAGGCGTTCAGCGGAACCTGGCCGCTGCGCTTGGCGATTTGGGGGATGGTTTATTTGTGCCAGGGTGCCACATAAAAGGCTAATTTATCATTTACATAATTGGGATTTCCAGTGGGCAAAAGTTATATCATACAATCACACTAATATAATATCATCTATAAATTAATAGGGCTACAATGGGCTACAAAGCAACTTGTTAATTACCAGCGGGGGGCTATATTGTGGGGATGCATCCAAGTAAGAAAATGGCTAATGGCTAATGACCCGAATTCCTAGAACACTTCCCGGTTCTACAAACGTGCGGAGTGACAAGTGATTGTTGCTCCCCGGCTCAAAAAGCCAGTCCGATATGTCCAAACAATTGGGACCAACATCATCCTTGGGGAACTCATTTCTCAGGATAAAATCACAGGCATCCGCTGTTTGCTTTCCGTCTTTTCACGGGCTTGAATCCAAACGAGGCAAACTTCTGTGATCTTCTGTGAAACTCGGATTGGGTGATCCTAACTGGCGAGACAGCAAAGGCCTTCTATAAAAAACAATGTGTTTGGTGAAGCTGCCCCATGACCAGAGGCATAGGACATCCTTTGGTCAACCGCAACGGGTTGACCCCGGTATTTTCCAACATGTCAAGTGATTGCCATGCAACAACTTTGGTTATTTTTTCTGGTTGGTGGTTGACCTACCCCTCTAAAAAATATGAAAGTCAATTGGGATTATTATTCCCAACATATGGAAAGATAAAAAATGTTCCAAACCACCAACCAGTTTACATGTGTTTTGCATTTCTGAGGAAGTTTCTTCCTGGAAAGCACCACGGAAGGTGCCATTTTTTTCATCTTCTCCTCCGAATGGAAGAGTCAACAGATTCCGCTCTCATCTGGTCCTTGGAGAGGGGAAAAACATGTCAAACCACCAGCCAGCCTTTACCTACCACCGTAGATCCCCCTACAATGCTCCAGTTATGTCAACAAAATAAAGTACCATATGAAGCAGATCGGATATGTATACTGGGTGCTTTCTGAAAGACCTTCAGCTCCTTACAATTTATCAATGGGGATCACCAGCCCAAATAATTGGAAGTGAATGAAATGAACACGATTGAAACCAGGATCTGAACTGACTCTCTCTCTCTCTCGAGAATATGTTGATAAGAAAACACACGGAAAAAAATGAAAAACGTAGCATTTGGGGATTGGGATTTCTTAGGTCATGTGAATCAAACGATCGTCATCACATACTATACACACTACTTGCTAACTTGGACAAGTGTCAGGTCCAACCTGTTGTTACCGAGGCCATGACTTACCAATGGTATTTCTCGGGTTTTGCCATGCAAAGCAGCATCAAACCCTATCAAAACAATAATTGAATATAATTATAATAACCATTATATTTTCCAGAAGTGGGTTCTGCCAAAGCCGTTGGTCGCCTTTACAAGGCCTTTCACAATCTTTTCGCTGTCTTTTCACGCGGTCTTCACAGTGGTTCGAAGGACTTTCCACGCACCGTGCTGTTTCAGCCACTGGCACAGTGAACATTTTCCAGTACCAAGGGCATGAATATATTGAATAAACCCAGTAAATCAAGGATGCTTCCACAAAGATTACAGAAGTTTGGTCGTCAATTACGAAAAATATAAAAGAACCTATATGTTTAATGCATGAATGTTTACTCATTTACAACTGATCAATGATATCAAACACAAAAGCCACAAATATGAAAGATTTGTCATTATAAGATTGGACAGAACAATTGCTGTTTTCACCAACCATCAACGACCCATTCCCGGCATAGAAAAAAACGCCGTGGCGCATAGAGTTCTGCGGCAGTTCTAGCAGGAGCAGCCTTGGCGACTGCTGGTATGGTACCCATCTGCTCCATGGTGCTCAAATATGAAGAGTTTTACCCACAGTAGTAGGGATACTCCACAATTCAGCAAGGGGTACCGTAAAATGAATCATTGGGATGGGATGGGATGGGTATCTCGGGGGTTCTCACTGGCTGCCAGGAGAATCCGCAGATTTTCCAATGGATCATGAAACCCATATGCTCCACGTAACAAGTATGTTCACCTACGTTTGCGTCGTGTTTTTGAGATAAGAAGGGCATGCTGGTACACACACACACAGATATATATATATATATATATTGCGTGACAGTGTATATATATATATATGCATATCATACCCATTCATATGCCACGAATGAAGCACTTGAACATTTTGAAAGAATAACCATCCAGCATGGAGCCATGAATGTTTGGTGATCTTTATATATATCTTTACTTAGTTCCTGTATCCATATTCCAAAACCATGGTGGCTTTTCTCCAAGTCGCAGGGATGGCTTCATCGTCCGCCTGGAACTCGGTTTTTTCAAGGCCCTGCCCCAAAGTTATGATCTTAACTACTGGAGTTGGTGAAATTTAAAAATCCAATGGTTGTAAAATAAACTTCGCCAATACTGGAGTTTATGATTTTACAACTCCATGGTGAAGTTTAAAACTCCATGACTATCTGATATGGTCTGATCATGTCTGATCACCAAAAGATGTCCCCAATGTGTCGGCTTTTCACATGCAATTTTGATCTTCCAGTGGAAGCCACGGTGATCGGATCGCCTTTTTCTCCTCGACCTCTTCAGCTCCTGCGAAGCTGCAATAAATCACCGCCTTACAGCTTCACCCGCACGTCGGGGCAGCCAAAATTTGGTTGGATTGGAATTTCAGGGAGCATTTGCGGGAAACCCTATGAAAAACCCATATTTAATTCAATGGATTGGTTTAAGGGAAAATCTACAGGAAACCATAGATTTTCCCATTAAATATGGGGCTTTCCTGTAAATTTTCCCATCATCCAATTCTATGATTAATGGAATATGTTATGGTCTCCTCTATTTTTTGTCTCTTATACATCAGTGGACCCTCATCGGTGGACTCCTGGCAATCCCTTACTCTTTGTTGGATGAGTGGTTTCAACTCCACAAAAATCATCAGGGGGAATAACAATACCCAAGTGGAATTGAACATCAAACACATACTTGAAACCAGCAACCAATACCAAGCAGGTAATTTCATGCATTCGCGCTGTAGCCGTATACCATCTTCACAAACTTTGGGCGGCAAATCTCTTTTGCTATTGTGACAGGTTAGTTCCCATTGGCGCATGACGTCCGGCTTCAGCGGGTCTGCCTACACGCTTGGGAGTATACATGCTGCTTTTTCATCAGTCCAAAATAGTCCAACTTGTCAGAAACCCATCTCCCTGACCTCACATTGCCTTTGCCATGCTCAAGCCCTACAACACCAAACTTTGCAGAGAAAAGCATGCGCGGGTAACATGTATACAGATAATAATATATAACAATAATGAATCATAATAATAATAATAATAATAAAATAATAAAAATAAAATCATAATTATATTTCATATGTATATATATATATATATTCAAATAATAATGATTTAACATAATTTAATAATACATATTATGTATACAGTATACAGTATATACAGTCTATATTGTAATAGAATCAACCACGAAAGCACCATACCACGCGGAACCATGAGTCACACAAAACAGCCAAGGCTCTGCCAGAATTGCGAAGAGTCCGGCCACAATGACCAACCTCAGAATCGCATGATCACCGACCCATAGAGCCATTGTCCAATATGTCAATGTCCAATGTCGAACATGCAGTGATGCTGCCTCCTAATCCCTTCCCCCATTCATATCAAATACTCCCCAAAAACCAAACCCAGGTGAAACTTATCACTTCAGTGTTACTCCATGTTACTCCGAGTGGCTCGCGAAGCCACCACCCATGAGTGTCCCAGAAGCGTCCCTGCGCCTGAGATTGTCGCAAAGCTTTAGTCGTCCAACGACGGGCAATGATATTCCGTGGCTCAAATCGGGTCAGAATACATTATAAATTATAATATAAATATAATATAGTCATATTCTTATATAATTATTGATATTATTGCATATTATTGTGATATGAAGTCGGGGTTTAGATCTGAACATATCTGAATGATCCATTTAAAACCGACAAGGACCTGAACAACAAAAGTCAGGGTATGACCTAAGCTACCTAGCAGGAGTGTAGATCAAGAAATCTCTAAGGCATGACTCAAGTGACAAAACCCAAGAATAAAAGTCTTAGATTTGGATGTAGGTTGGGTCTGGGCGGTCAGTTAGTGGATGAACCGGGCCACTGCTTCTTCCATCGGCCAGCAGGGTTGGAAGCAACGGCACGCACCAGGAAGGGGAGGCTACCGGCTACAGTCGGGGATGAGGCTTTTCATCCTAGGCATTCCAGAGCGCCTCGGCTTTTGTGGAACAGGATAATGACATCGACAACTTCCAGAGACACACTTTTTGGCCAACGGGTTGACTGGCAAGTTGACTGATTTCTATTTTCGGACTGAACGAGTCTGTTTTCAATCACAGTTCTGTGTAATTTTGAAATGTGTTGTTTGGAAAAAAGATATTTGAACATCTTTTAGGACCTGGGTGCTATTGTTGTCGCTCCCTTTTCCCGCGACTGCGATGATAAAAACCGATGCGGCTCTTCACTGGATCCAGCTCAGCTGCAGCCACACATGAAGACAAAGGTTTGGAAGTTTTGAACTGAAAAAAATCAATGGCCATAAGATGGTTGTTAAATAGATATGAAATGGTTCTACCATGTTATACCCATATGTGACTGTGTTCATAAATATCCATGAAAATATGATTGAATTTCTGAACATACACAGCATGGAACATAAAGAGGAGGATTCATATGATATGTTTAAACGCAAACAAACACATACATATTTTTATATATATTCATATATATATATATAGATTGAGGCTCAAAATGACTGCCCCCAATTTCCGGATGGTTATATACTCTGCGGAACACTGACGTAGAGGCGGTGTTCACCCATCATGAATGTAGATCATCCCAGGGTTTCCCCATGGGGTTTTCCACATCTTTCAAGGTCTACAGGAGGGTGCCCATGATGTTTTTCCTGGGTGCCCATTGGCGCTGCCTCTTTGTTCAGCCAAACAATGTGCGCCTCGATTGGTCCCATGAGTTGAACCCGAAGGAAGCCATCCAAATTGGTGCAGGAGTCAACGCTCTGAAATTCGGATCAATCATGAAATACCCTCTGGTTATGTCAAAATAGCTATTGAAAATGGCCCAGTCGAAATAGTGGATTTTCCCAGTAAAAACGGTGGATCTTTCCATAGCTATGTAAACGTTTACCAGAGGGTAACATGATATGGGCATGGGTGGTTCTTAAAATGGATTCCCATATCGCCATAGCTTTCCAAGCGGCTCGCAACTGCTTGTCCAAAGGCTCATTCCTGTAGTCCTGGAACGGCGACACGACTGGATCCACTGAAGATTTACCGGTTTTAGGCTGTAAAGGTTTACTGGTTGGTGGTTTTAACCAATGGTAAAATCCATGTAAAATCCCATCAACACCAACTGGTTGGTGGTTTTAATCATCTTGAAATATATTAGTCAATGAGAAGGATTATCCCATATATTGTGGAAAAAAATGTTTGAAACCACCAACCAGTTTACCATCAAATCAACAGGTCTCCTGCAAGACTTGGGGCTCAACAGTTGGCTTTTATGGATATGATATGATATGATTACGATTTGGCTGCTGGGAATGAAATTTGATATTGGAGCCAATGCTTAAAATCTACTGATGCTGAGGGTGACATTGAATCGGGTCGCGGATACCCAAAGACATCATTTGCCAATCATGGCAACTGAACGTCACCAATAAATATGGTAAATCAACGAGAAACCGCATGGTGGTGGTTTTTTCACCCCAAGAAATTGGCTTGGGACTAGTGATCAGAAAGTACCCACTGGTTGGTTCCAACCCCCCTTTTTCAATGACGATCAGTGAGTTGTGAACACGTTCCTTCAAGATTCGGATAGCGCAAGATTGACGTGTTCCGCAGCACCTTGTGTTCCTAACTTTAGATCTGGTTTGCGGCTTCAACATGTTTCAACCAATCACATAGGAAGGGCAACTGGAATTATCATCCAAGAGAGGATGCAACACAAATGCAACCACCACCTCTGAACTCTGCATAGTTTTGAGATCTTGGCTGCCCTTTTAAGGCTGGGGTAACCGGGGGCCATCATTTTCCACAATTTTCCAGAGATCCCATGGATTCCGATCAGGCCAGGGCAGGCCCAATTTCAACCGATCAATTGGGAGGTTGTTTTAGAAATGTTGATGTTGATGGTAATGGGTAAGAAATTGCCAAATAGTAATGCATACTTTACATCATGTTGACTAACATCAGAACAATACTGAGCATAACAAACATAATTAATTGGTGAACATGTTGATAATAATCATAGCTGTGATCTTCATCATGAACAACATAATGATAAAAACACAATAATGACCGTAATTAATGTTACCAATACAATAACACTCATCATATACAGTGTATATACATGTATATACTGTGTATATATATATGTATGTGATTACGTATATATGTGCTAATACAGATCTCGTAACAAGAAGGATGGCTGATCCTTCCCAAAGCCCCCCGCTGCCCCTCGTCCTGTTTCTTGGGGCCTGTCTTGGGTTCAGGTGCCACACCTTCCTCACGGAGGCCTCAGTGAAAACCAAAAGACCCAGTCATCTGACGACGTTCTAATGTTCTAATGATTCATGATATTTATAGATAATTATTGTCAAATTGTAAGAAGTTATGCGAAAATTTAAACACAATCACAAAACATACACTAACTATATATCATCGGATTTCTTTATTTTACAGCAGACCCTGGTCAAATCGTCCCTTCGTCCGACTCTGGGATGCAACCATCATCAAAGCAGTCAATCCAAACTTAAACCGCCCAATGTGAGCGATACATTTACAGTAGAATATCATGTCTGACACAAACATCATCAAATATCCATATACAATATGAATGACTTTGCACAGAGCGCAAGGGATTCTCAAGCCCCAACATGCCTGGCTATGAGGGCGCCTCTAACAACGAAAGCGCACGGCCTACGTCTTTGGATGGGGCATTTTTGTTGACTCGGCCGACATCTGAGACCTCTTTCTTCAGCTTTTTGTGCAGAAATCGTATCCATGTCTCTTCACAGTTTACCATCCATATCGTCTATATCATCTATTTGAATCTATTTGAGACCCAACGACCCTACAACATGCCATGACAACTGCGCATTGCTCCGGCTTGGCTTACTGGGCCCCGCGCGTCGCGCCGCACTGGTGATGTAGCCGTTGGGATTGCGCACCTGGTTTGTTAACGGCCTGAGTCTATAGCTATTGGGGATGACTGGGGATGATGTTGAGAAGGCTTCAATATCACCTCGAAATTGCCAAATGTGATCAACACTCCTAGAAAATGATAAGGCTTCAAGGATGGTCTATCATGGTCTATACTCTATACATGTCTATACTAACCATTTCTTGTAAATTTGGGAATGTTTGTGGCGTTCGGTTTGCCACATCATGAGACCGCGAAGCCAGGTTTTGTGGGCCAGAGGACAACTCCACATGGTGACAAAAAACGGATTCCATACTTCTGGATTCAGTGGGGCCCAGTATGGTCCAGTGAGGCCTGGCCAGTTCAATATATAGATATAGTTATAGATAGAGATATATATAAAACACTGGTTCAATACTGTTTTTAAAAAATTAGGGTTCACGAAATTCCTTAGGTTCAATACTGTTTTTAAAATCTCTGTCTATGACCAGTGGCATGCGCTTAAATGCCTCAGAGCGCCATTGCGCGAAACCCGCCCTGCCGACGCCCCCCCAAAATCGGATCACCTCGGAAGCGTTTTCTTCCAAGGTCTTCAGGATCTTCATCACCTGTCAGCTGTATCTCCACAAGACGAGCTGGAAAACATGGGAAAACTGAAGAAACTATGGAAAACTGGAGGCATTCCATTCATCGCATTGTTATTTTTTTGAGATTTCCATAGATTTCCCATGTCCGATCAAAACCTGGAGCCAAGAAAGTCCACTGATGCGTAAAGATTTTCTATGTCAACAGTGCCATCTTTGAGGTGTGCCACCATTTTTTTGTTATTGTGTTGCATGGAGTCATTGACAGCTCCAGCCTCCGCAATGGGCCCGGATTCCAGCAGCAGCTCTCCTACCTACTCAGGTTGCAGATTCTGCCAGCTATGTGGCTTGGAAAAGAACCTTCCGTTTCGATTCTAGGATACAGGACCTATAGGATGATATAGGCATATATTGGCTACATTTATAGTAGGACGTATTAGATCGTATTAGAATATCAGATATAGATTAGACAATATTGATATTACCCGTGAGGCCGGGGTAATTCTCATTTACGCAGCTTGAAATTTCCAATCATGTCAGCGTCCAAGATTTTGAGGAGTCAACATGATACAGCTCAATAAAAGTTAATGCTTAAAGCAATGTTTATCAATGCTATTCATTGACGTACAGATCAACAACTACTAATTTTTGATTTGCATAGTTACCAGCCATGTTCAACAACATTTACTACTTTTAGACTTCAATCTAAGATCGCAAACAGTGTTGTCTTAACTATATACTCAAAATCTTGGCCTATTTCAGGCTTCCAGCTTTGATCTCCGCCTTGTCATAGCTTAGCTGATCGTTCAGGTCTGAGCGCGATCCGTTCGCTCAACAGGACACTAATCCGATGTCCCAGGCTGATTGCCAATAGGAAAAGCAAAACAATATGACACTTGAACTATAATAGAAACAAATAGCGCATGCTATTTAAGAGAAATGGATACCTAGATAACCATGGAATCCTCTTTTTGGAATCATTTTTTCGCCAACAGGAGGCTTTTTTCGGAAACCAAGGCCTTGCCGTAGCGAAATGGCCAACAGTTTGGGTATTGGCTCTTGAAGAAAATGGTGCCTCCTAGTTATGATTCTGGTTTGACTCAATTATTATCTGGTTGGTGGTTGACCTACCCCTCTGAAAAATATGAGTTCGTCAGTTGGGATGATATTTCCCAATATGGGAAAAAATGTTCCAAACCACAAACCAGTTATGGTTATCATCACCAGTAGCCCAACAGTTAGCTTGATTAGCTTGATTAGCCTAGTTCTAAATGCCAACATAGCTACATGGGCACCACCTTGTACGGCCACACGATGAGTTTCCAACTTGCTTTGTCGTTGAGCCAGGAGATTCTCTTTTTCACCTTCGCAGAGATTCTCTGTGAGTCCCGGCAATAAAGGTCAGTGATGATTTCATTGGCTATGGAACTATTGGCAGGTTCTACACTCGTTGCAATTGTATACACAATTGTTCCATATATCTTTTGCATCCTTTCTGCGGAAATAGTTGCTGGTCGCGTCGCTGTTTTTAGTATGGTTGGATATCTGGATAATAAAACATTGGCCATGAAACACATCTGGCTGAGTTGCTGAACTATAAGAATGCATGAAACTCAAAAGTTGGGCAAAATAAAAAATAATGCTAAAATAACTATTACTAATAACACATGAATATATAGCATGAATTAGATAGCCCAATCCTAACATCTACTCTCTCCCTCTCTTTCTCTATATATCTATATATATATATAAGTATCATAACTACATTCTTTTCAGTGACGTCCCACCAAATGAGCTCGTCATAGTTCACTCCATTTCAGTGGCAACCCTCTCGGCCCCGGCAATCGGATTGGCCCTTTGCCGTTCCCCACCTTTTCGACCATGGCTGGATCAAAGGTCCTCTTCTCCTGTCAGTGGGGATCCTGCTCCAGAACTTGGATACCCTCTGGTAATGACTAACATAGCTATTGAGAATGGCCCATTTATAGTGGATTTACCCATTAAAAATTGTGATTTTCCATAGTTATGTTAGTTTACCAGATGGTATCCCCTATTTGGCCTTGGAGAAATAAGATGAAATAAGCCCTGGCTGCACCTTCAAATGGGTCTTGATCACGCCCTTTCCACGTCGATCCTGCGACGGATCGGAAAGATCCCACGTGTGCTGGGTCTGGCGAGCCAGAATGCACTCATGGAATCTCATGGAATCTCATGGGTGCACTCTTTTGAAGATGTTTATGTAGTATTTGAATGTTGAAGCATCCAATGTTTGGAGGGCTTTGATTTTGAATCGAATCCATCAATTTCATTCATTTTCCATATTGACTTGCCATGGCACCGCGGCAAAACTGAGGCTAATGCATAATGTTACGGATGGCCAAAGAAGACTGCACTGATAGGATAAGGTCCTTAGGGAATGTTAGGGAAACCAATTAGCTCCTTCCCTAAGAGAATGGCTATGCAGTTCCAAAAAAAAAATAACGGAAAGTAAAATCCATTCCTATAAATCCATATAAATCCTACAATAGTGATGAAACATGATGCATCACTATTTGGGTTGCTATAAAAGTCTCGAAAAAGCATCCCCAATCATGAGATTTTGCCCCTTGAATCATCTGTTCACCCGGAAGCCTGACCGCCTTTGCCTTTGCCTTTGCCCTTTCCTGACACGGGGAACAGGAGATACGATTCGTGGACGGACGGGCAAAAACATGTCAAAACCCAGTTGTATCATCATTTGGTTGCTGGTTTCGATCCATAAAACATGTTAGTTCATTGGTATGACCATCGAATCTAATAAGGAGGCTTTAAAGGATGGAAACCAACAACCAACGCAAGGCGGCTTTTCTTTGGTGGTTGTTTGAATCAAGATTTGCAAATGAAACCTAAAACATGCCAAAACTGGAAAAAATGGGCCCGCAACAGGAGACTGACATGTTCAGACTGCAGATTTCGGGTATAAAGGTGTCCTGATACCGACATATACCGACATAATTTATCTTCTCAACCAATGACCAGACCATGCCTTTACCACGTTTGCTCACTGCCGCCAAGATGTAGTTCGTGGGGTTTTTCACCTGACCGCAGGGATGGTCCACAGATGTCCACAGGCAAGGCTGTCCACATGCTGTGATTCCAATATTCTTTGAAGAACATGCTAAATCTATCAACAACATCCATCAACAAAAGCATGGAAGAGATAACTCATCAGGATTATTCATGATTTATGGCGTGTTTTTTTATGTCTGGTTTTTTCATGTCTGTCGTGTCTGTCATGTTTACTCCGGGCTAGCCCCTCCATGACCGCGCCTCAGATGCCTTTTCTTCCAAGTGCGATAGGATCTCCAGGGCCTAGCGCAGCCAACGGCGTGGAAAATGCTGGGGGTTTACCACGCAAACCAGGAGATATGGAGGCCCCCCGGGATGGCAATGGAAAATGAAGCATTTATAGATGTGGTTTCCCATTAACATCTAACATCTCTATTATAGAAGTGTTTTCAATAATTTTCCATTGCCAAGTTTGATTCATGGAGGGTATCAGATTTTATGGCAAAGAAACGTCCAAAACCCCGTGCTGTGCTCGTGACCCAGAGCCATCGTTCCCTGTCTCAGTTCGGGCTTGGCTGCCTGTTTCTCCCACAATCCACTGGTTGATCATCAGCGGCCAATTGCCCTCTGGTAACTAACATAGTTATGGAAAATCACAACTTTGAATAAGTAAATCAACTATAAATTGGTCATTTTCAATAGCTACCTAACAAATTACCAGAGGGTATATCAGCTACAGTATCCATTGTATTAATAATGACTGATAAAAGGGATAAACCATAAAATGATCGAGATATAACAAGCCGTGGTTTTATGGCAAGTATATCAATCCAATAGGGTACCGCACAATCCACAACTTGCCCTAAAATCGGCTATCTTCCATATTTTGACAAAATCACTTACCCTGTTGTTGTTTCTAATCACATATCATATCAACATCCCCATAATTTAGTTCTTACACATATCCATTATACAATCAAGTACAATCTTAGTGAATCTAGTGGTTACAAATCGACAAATAAACCGTGATAAACTTCATCTAATTGCTGGTATACCTACCCTGAAAAATATGAGTCAGATTGAATCATCATCCCAGCTATTGGGGAAAATATGGCAGCCATGTTCCACATCACCAACCAGACAAAATATTGGGTACTATAAATTCCCATGATTCTCATTAATGCCCATTAATGATCATCATCCCACTATTGGAACTATGATATCTATGATTGGATCATCCAACTATTGGATATATATATATAGATATATATCATCATCCCACTATTGGATATATACATCCCACTATATATAATGATCATCCACTATATATATATATATAAATATATATATATATGGAAAACCAACCATTAGTGGATCATATCCCACGAAAAATTCTTGTTCCAAACCACCAACCAATCCAACTGCGCCCCGCCAGCGCCCCGCCTTGCTGGTCCCCATCGAGGTCAAGGGCTCTAGCAACTGATCGATATCCAAATCCTGAAACGACGCGTTTGGATGGCGCAAATGTAACCGTTGGAAATGGTGATTTCAACCGTTAAATAAACAATGGATTTAACCAACAAACCTGGTGATTTAACTATGAAACAATCAGAGTTAAGCAAGAAAACATGTGGATTTAGCCATCAAACACCGGAGTTAACCATCAAAAATGGTGATTTGAGCCATCTTAAACATTGTAAGTTAAGCAACAAAAATGTGGATTTAAGAATCAAAAATGGTGATTTCACTATGAAGACTTTGAAGTTTACCAAGACAAATGTTGATTTAACCATCAAACAGGGTTACTTAACCTTGAACACTGGGAATTTGATCAACAAACATTTAGATTGAAACAGCAACAACTAGGACTTAGCCGGCAAAAATGATGGTCTAATCAGCAAACAAAACGCTACCCGAAACATGTGGGTTCAACGAGCACAAATCTGGTTTTAACATGGTTTACCATGGTTTCATCTGAAAGAAAAAACATGTAGCCATTTTAAGGCTTTTGAGGTTGAATACTTTCAAGAGGCCAATTAAATCCAATTAATAGATCCAATAAGCCGTTTTTTTTGGTGGCACCTGCCCGCCGGGTTTCAGGATTCAGGCCCTCGAGGGCTCATTACGCTCAGGCTGGCGACACAACCGAGAAATTAAAAGGCAGCAAATCTTCCCAAACTGATGTGGCGTACACATGTGTATTAAAAGAATATGTGTATAATTACTGACAGAATTATATATATAAATCCATATGTTTCCTGGCTTTCAACCTCCCTTGAAAACATACTGGTCACTTTTGGGGTCACGTTTGCCACACAAACACCTTAATGTTAAGTTCATATAAATAAGCAACCCAAATTATATAATCATAATCAACACCCACATTCCAAAAACTGTTTGGCAATACTACTTTGGGTGGGTCGCTCCTATTAAACAACACCCTGCTCAGAAATCCTAATTTTGTGGCAGTCAGGTATAACTTTAGTTACAGTAATGGTTTTAATCGTTTTTTCATGGTTGAAAAAGTAATGTTTGGAAGGAATGTCCCATGCCCCATCTCACCATCTTACCCCATTGGGAGGGAGGTTGCCACTGAAAAGAGAAATCTCAACCCATTGGCAGGCATGTTGGTTGTTGTTTATGTATGACAAACCCTAATTTTTTAATTGAGGGGTGGCTCTTACCTTCTGGGTGGGGGGTATTAATACAAACTTGGCATTACTCGAAAAGCGCTTCGCCTGCCGTTTGAAGCGCCTGGTTGAGCCCCGCGTTGCTGTTTAACATCCGCATCTGATCTTCAAGTTGTTGAACATCCGCCGGTTCCGTGTCCTCCTGGTGCTGGAAGGTCATGGAAGGTCCGGAGCATTAAAAAATGGTGATGGGGCAAACAACCACAAAATATGTTCTCTGCTGAAGGCGCTGAACATATCAATATCCCCGTAAACATATGCACAGTACATATGTGAACTACAAGACGGGAAAAAAGGATAGACACAAAAAATGTATATTATATAATTATATATAATATATTCAATATGATATGTTGAAATCACCTTCGAACACCATGACTTGGATCTTCCACAATAATTTCATGGCCTGGGAGGGCTAAACAAGATGCGGAAAACAAAACAACATTTCTACATATGTGCTCTTTCTAAGATCTGAAACTGTAAATGGATCTCTCTTGGGTTTATCCCAAGGTTTCGCCCTTTTGAAGTTGAATGTTTGGGATCCACCAACAAAAGGAGAGTCGTCCTTCACCCCCTGCATTAACATTACTCTCATAAGGGCCAGCAAACACTGGAGACTGGCCACCAACATATCCGAAATGGACCGAAATGGCATCCTTTACCCATCCCCAGGCCAGGGATACAAAGTCACATCACGCAGGCCACACTCGCCAACCAGCCTTGCCATCAGCATCCTCCTATGCAGGTTATCGCAGTTTGGGGAATCCATTGGAGTCAGATCTGCCATCAATTAAGCATACCCCGATATGCGAAGTTTTCCCGATCGCTTCTTATGGCAGAACAATGAAAGTGGCCAGTCCGGGTAGGTGGGATTTTCACATCAACCCATCCAGCCTCCAGATTCACATCCTGCCAAGGGTTTGCTCTCAACATCGGGACCCCCAATTCCACAAACATTATGCAATCCCTTCTGTGCCAGGGATTTTTTATCAATTTTTGTTGTTCATCGCAGAGGCTTGGTGACTTATCTATGTTCAATGTGGTGGGGGTTGATTGCCACACGCCGGGAATCTTGACCAATGGGGCAATCATTGGTCTGGCTGAATTATATTATTTCGTAGGTCGTTGGGTCGATTGTTTTTAATTCAAAATTGAAATAAAATTACGTCGCAAGAAATATTGAATTATTTTCTACGTCGTGATAGATAGATAGATAGATAGATAGATAGATTAGATTAGATTAGATTAGATTAGATATTAGATAAGATAAGATAAGATAGGTAGATAGGTAGATAGGTAGATAGATAGATATGACCCCAGAGATTATGCGCACACCTCGGTTCGAACTTAAGATCTTCAAGTCTGAAGTCCGACACACTAACCACTGGGCCGCAAAGCCATGCAGCCCTTTCCTCCTCTGAATTTTGCCTTCTTATTCTCTCTGGGCTCGCTGCCCGGGGCTGGGGTTTGGCCCTTTTATGGTGAAACCGGCAATATTTTAGCAATTCCCATGCATGCCCGGCAATGCAAAGAAGCATGGCCAACTCACCTGTGCTGAAGGAGAAATGGGACTTGGGCAGGCAGACAAGATTTCTCAAAACGGCGAATTTGAGCTTTTTGCAGCTCGAAAAACTCAAATTGGACGTCTTGAGAAATCCTAGCCACCGAAGTCCCATATCAATCTTGCATGTAACCAAGGAATGGGATACAGCCAAGCATGGCAAGAAACACTAGAGGGAGCAAGAAGGTCAGGGAGGGATCGAACCCCAGCTCGTTTCTCAAGACGGCCAATTTGAGTTTTTTGCGGCCCGAAAAACTCAAATTGGACGTCTTGAGAAATCTTGCCTGCCTGCCCAAGTCCCATTCCTCCTTCAGCACAGGTGAGTTGGTCATGCTTCTCTGCATTGCCGGGCATGCATGGGAATTGCTAAAATATTGCACTTTCCAAACTATCCCAAGAATGAAGAGCTGATGAGAGGGTGAAGTGTTCAGTCTTGGTAGAGCCTTTCTTTTTGTGGGTCTATTACTGCTAGCTTTCCATGCTTCCCTTCTACCTTTCCAGTTGCTTGGAAAAACATGAAAAACTACGTCAGCCAGTCCTGTCCAGCAGCAGCGGGGAGTCAATGGTGAGCACCATGCAAAACCCTTAATTCAATGGCTTAGGTCGGTTTCTGAGGTGACGTCGGGTGACGTCGTTATAATTCGGGCAGATTGATGTAACAGGGATTTTCCAAAAATTGAGTTGATGTTTTTTCCCCCACCTGCCAGGTGAGGGTTGTTAGATTTTATCAGAGCTGTTCTCCTCCTCCTCCTCCGCCTCCTCCGCCCTCCTGTGCCTCCTCTGCCTCCTCACCCGCCGCCTCCTCCTCGCAGTCCAGATCCCAGTGGGCACAGCAGGACCTCCACCGCGAGCTCCAGATCCCAGTGGGCACTGCCAGACCTCAACCGCGAGTTGCAGATCGCAGTGGGCACTGCCGGACCTCAACCGCGACTTCCAGGTCGCAGTGGGCACTGCCGGACCTCAACCGCGACTTCCAGATCGCAGTGGGCACTGCCGGACCTCAACCGCGACTTCCAGATCGCAGTGGGCACTGCCGGACCTCAACGGGAAGAATGTCAGAAAATATGTCAGATAGAATGTCAGAAGATATGCCAGATAGAATGCCAGAAAGAATGTCAGAAAGAATGTCAGAAGATATGCCAGACAGAATGTCAGAAGATATGCCAGAAAGAATGTCAGAAGATATGCCAGATAGAATGTCAGAAGATATGCCAGATAGAATGCCAGAAAAAATGTCAGAAGATATGCCAGATAGAATGTCAGAAAGAATGTCAGAAGATATGCCAGATAGAATGTCAGAAGATATGCCAGAAAGAATGTCAGAATATATGCCAGATAGAGTGCCAGAAAGAATGTCAGAAGATATGCCAGATAGAATGCCAGAAAGAATGTCAGAAGATATGCCAGATAGAATGTCAGAAGATATGCCAGATAGAATGTCAGAAGATATGCTGGATATGCCAGAAGATATGCCAGAACATCTGCCAGAAGATATGCCAGATAGAATGCCAGAAGATATGTCAGATAGAATGCCAGAAGATATGCCAGATAGAATGCCAGAAGATTTGCCAGGTAGAATGCCAGAAGATATGCCAGAAGATTTGCCAGATAGAATGCCAGAAGATATGTCAGATAGAATGCCAGAAGGTTTGCCAGTAAGAAAATGTATAAACGTCATGGTGGGGATCACACGAAGTAAAGTATTTTTTTAGGGGCCCTCCAGATAGGTATGTATTTTTCATCATGACTAGGTGAACGATGGTTTCAACATATCTTAATCTACAAATATATTTAAAACCCTACGTATATACATGATTATACTTGGATGGGGTTCTTGTCAAAATATCAACACACAAAAAAACGGCTGGCCTTTTGGACCCCTTCCTGTCAACCCGTGTCCTCATTCCAATCGTCCGGCTCTTGATCTGCCTCAGCCATGACCCCAAGGGCACCCCGTTATGGTATCAACAAGGCCTTAAATTTTGGCAAGGTCAGATTTCAAGCACGCACTGAGAAAATACAGGACATTACCATATATCGAAGGAACAAAAATCCAAACCTTAAAAATGGATCCATGTTTTTGCTCGACTTTTTTGGTTCTTCTGAGCGGCATGGCGTCACTCCCTGTTGTGGCTTCATTTGCTTCAAGTGGAAGTGGGTCAGCATCTAATACAATCCAGCATTTTGTTTTGACCTAAAGAAATTCCATATAACCATATACAACTAGTATCTGGCGAAAATTTGGCGAAACACACGGGTTTTAACGCTAAGCAGTAGCCAGGAGTGGGGACCACTGACGGACGTCAATTTCAGCCATGGTGGTAGAAACGAACCAATGTTTATGTGCGATTCACCAAGGCAACCGGCATGTGTTGATCATTATTTCGGTCATTTCGACAAGAAAAAAGCATATTTGACCTAATTGCGTTGTATCTGCCCCGAGGCCTGAAACCTCATATTGCCGAAAGTCTGTATGATTTTTCCAATGTGAACGCTAGAAAATAATCCACCTCTTGCAGGTGGCAAAAAGAAGCCAAGGCACCATGGGGGCATCCCCGTCGTGGCCTCGGATGCAAACAGAATGGGGCATTGTGGATGCCTCTTTTTTGCTGAATTTGAAAATTATATACTTTTGGAAACATGTATGTGGCTGTTTGTCTGCAAAAAAAAGGTGGTGGCCACTTGACATGGGCCCCTGAAAGGTCAACAAGTTGACTTGCGCCGACCCAAATCAGCGGCATTACCTGCTCGCATTGGAGACGTGCGTGTTTAAAACACTTATCATGGGCCCCCCTCTGTCAGCGGCCGCGTTTGAACATATTGACGTTTCTCATGAAAAATGCACCCCCTGAATTTTCATTGCCCCTTGGTGGAGCCATGACTCTTGGCTTCCCACTGATGTCCTGAGGCTCCTGGCAGTCCGATTCGGGCCGGGTGCTGGGCTAATTAAAAATTTCAAACGTGGCGAAGGCAACCCGCGCGTCTTTAAGTCCACCGCCCCCCTTGCCGGATCTCATTCCGGCCCTTAACCCAAATGGTGCGTATCTGCGTGCCAAGCCTTCAATATGTCCCAGAACCAAGGCCGCATAATGTGGAGTTGGCGAAGCCGAGCACATGCTAAAATATGGATAAATATGGTTCAATTGGCCGGGCTTTCCTTTTGTTTTCCGTCCAGAGCCTTCCTACTATAGTCCCTCCCTCGGTCAGGTAGCAGCTACCAGCACATGCAATACGTTGTCATCCAGTAAACTCGAAAGAAATTAGAGCGTCCTCAACGCGTTGGCCTCCAAACTCATATAACTCGTCATGACAGTTATATATTTGTGTGGATCCAAGCAGTCTTAACCAAACACATCCAAATACCTGCGGTCTAACCTGCCAGCCCCTTTCAGCCTGGGTCGTCTGACCATGTTCATTGGTTCTATGAAGGATTCTGGGTCTGTCAAGCATGCGTGCTGTTAAGAGAAAAAAGGCCGATGTGGAATATGACTGGCAACACTATCTGAACATGGACTGTTGGACCAATACTCGAAAGGTGCGTCCCACCGGTTGATTGGCTGCCAACAGACTATCCCTTGACACTATCATCAATCGACAAA